TTCTCCTCCATGGAACATCCCTACATGGTTGCAGTGACCCATGGGAGATGTTTCTCCTCCAGGAAACATCCTTCCAATGGTTGCCGTGACCCACAGGAGATGTTCCTCCTTTGGAGAACATCCTTCCCGATCCAACAGCTGTTCCTCTGCCCTCTCCCAGGTGCCACGGCTCCGGCCCGCAGCGGTGGTCGCCCACGTGGCTTCATCAACCTTCTGGGTCTCCTGGAGGGCGGCAGGCCACCGCCGAACGAGTGCGGGAAGACCTTTGGGCAGAGCTCCAACCTGATCGAGCACCAACGGACCCACACGGGCGAGAGGCCCTTCACCTGCGGCCAATGCGAGAAGAGCTTCAGCCGGAGCTCCACCTTGGCCGAACATCTCCGGACCCACACGGGTGAGAAGCCCTACGCCTGTCCCATCTGCTCCCGCGCCTTCAGCCGGAGCTCCACCTTGACCGAACATCGTCGGACCCACACCGGCGAGATGCCCTACGCCTGTCCCGAGTGCGGGAAGACCTTCGGAAGGACCTCCAACCTGGTCAAACATCTTCGGACCCACACCGGGGAGAAACCCTACGGTTGCGGGCGCTGCGGGAAGACCTTCAGCCTAAGCTCCAACCTGGTGAAGCACGAGAGGACCCACACGGGTGAGAAGCCCTTCTCCTGCGGCCAATGCGGGAAACGATTCAAGAAGAAGACCCACTTGGCGTCCCACCAACGGACCCACACCGGCGAACGACCTTACCGGTGCGGGGAATGCGGCAAAGCCTTCGGGCAGAGCTCCACGCTCATCGAGCACCAGAGGACCCACACGGGCGAACGACCCTTCCGCTGCGGCGCCTGCGGCAAGAGCTTCTGCGTCAGCTCCAACCTGGTCAAGCACCAACGCATCCACACCGGCGAGAAGCCCTACGGCTGCGGGCGCTGCGGCAAACGCTTCCGTTACAAACCCCAGTTCACCCGGCACCTGAAGGTCCACCCCGACGGAGACCCGGCGTGTGGCCCGTAGGACGTTTGGAGGTGGATGGGGG